CGGGGGGCTCTCACCTGGAAGGCTGACACGGGCGACACGCTCCCTCCACTGTGGCTGCGGCTCCTTCTGCAGCTCCTGGGATCCTGGCTGATGACGGCTGGACCCTGGCTGTGGTCCCCTCCGAACACAGCCCTCTCGGATGGTGACCTAAGCCCCCTCCACTGGCTCCCTCTCAGAGCCCACACATTGGAACACAGGCCGTCCTGGGGCAGTCACCGCCCCTTTGTTCTGCCAACAAAGCACCCAGGCAGCCAGCTGGGGACTGAATTGAGCCCCCCTGGTCAACATGTTGCAGTGCTAAGCCACAATGTTACTGTATTTGGAGACAGGGCCTGTAAGGAGGTAAAGAAGGTTAAATGAGGTCATAGGGGTGGGGCCCTGATCCAAGAGGATTAGTGTCCTTATAAGACAAGACACCAGAGTTTTCTCTCTCTGGGACACCAGCTTTCCAGCACCAGAATGAAGGGTTGGGAATGTCATAAAGATTCAGGGGTCTCTAGGAGGGGTTGAGGAGGTCTGCTGGGTGAAGAGAGCCTCCATGGGGTACAGCCAGGAAATTCCCAGGGGGATGGCCCAGGCCCATTTGCACAGGGGTCCAGCTGCCATCTCTCCCTGTTTTGTTCCAGACATACCTGAGACATCTGTTTTCCTGTAATCCTACCTGGTCCCCAAAGGAGGTACTCACCCGAGAACAGAACCACAACCACATTGCTGCCAGCAGGCGGCAGACATCAGAGGGAGTCGCTACCATATTTCAGCTGCTGGAGGAGGGGAGCCATGCCCAGGGCCCAGGTGCAGACAGGGCCTCAGTCCATGGTTTGGTAGATCAACCCTGGCCCTTGACCACAGCAGGAAAAAAAAATGCGAGAAACATGGATCGGCTGCCCCCTACTGGGGATCGAGCTCGCAACCTGGGCATGTACCCTGACCGGGCATCGAACCGTGGCCTTCTGGTTCACGTGTGTGTGGGTTGATGCTCAACCACTGAGCCACGCCGGCTGCGCTATCCAGTGTTTTGTTTTCATCTCAATGACTCTGTCAATGATGAGTTGCCTCGCTGGCTCTTTCCTATTTACTTGATTTTGTGTCAAGATTTCCTGTTCGTTTACAAATATTTGCTCCTCCCAGGTTTGCCTTTTGCCGTCCCCACCAGCTGTGAGAATACAGCTCAGATCTGCGAACGGCTGTGTGCAGACGGACACACATCCATCGGCCTGCATGCAGGACCGTTCAATGAGGTCCGACCCATGGACCCGCTTGGAAAGCACAGGTGAGGTCATTATGATGTGACATTGGTGATCAATGTGGGAGGCCCAGGACTCACTGGAGGCTGCCAGGGGGGTGGTACTCAAACGTTGAGAACTTGGCTGTGCTGAGTCCCAGCCATCGCAAAGCCAGCAGATCCTATTCCACGCCCCCACCCGCCCCCACCCCGGGCAGAAGTTGTGTTTATCCTGACTCCGGAGCCAACAGCCCTATTAGTTTTGAGCTGACTTAAATATTTTTCCACATTTGGGCAGAGCCACTGTGAGCCAAGGGAAGGGCATGCCCACATATTGTTATGATTCTCTGAGGACAGCGACTGTGCCTCGTTTATCCTTCCTTCCACCCTGCATCCACCGCTCGGCTCAACAAATGCTTACTCCCCTGGCTGGTGTGGCTCAGTGAGTAGAGCATCGGCCCGCAGACTGAAGGGTCCTGGGTTCGATTCTGGCCAAGGGCACGTACCTTGGTTGGAGGCTCAATCCTGGGCCCTGGTTGGGGTGCGTGCGGGAGGCAACCCATCGATGTGCCTCTCCCCCTCCCTTCCACTCTCTCTAAAAAATAAATCAATGGAAAAATATCCTCGGGAGAGGACTGACAACAGCAGCAGCAAATGTTTACGGACTCACCCTGTAAAATGGTCATTTAACGGGAGTCATGATATAAAATACAGCCCGGCCGGTGTGGCTGAGTGGTTGAGTGTGGACCTATTAACCAGGAGGTCATGGTTCAATTCCCGGTCAGGATACATGCCCGGGCTGCAGATCAGATCCCCAGTAGGGGGCGTGCAGGAGGCAGCCCATTGATGGTTCTCTCTCATCATTGATGTCTCTCTCCCTCTCTCTCCTTCACCTCTGAAGTCAATAAAATATATATTAAAAAGAAACATGAACGATGAGAGAGAACTACTGATCGGCTGCCTCCTGCACGCCCACACTGGGGATCGAGCCCGCAACCTGGACATGTGCCCTGACTGGGAATCGAACCGTGACCTCCTGGTTCATAGGTTGACGCTCAAACACTGAGCCACGCCGGCCAGGCCCCATTCAGGGTTTGCAACCACACAGGGAGGAGGCCCAAGACGGAATGCTTGGTTAGCACTGGCTCACTGGGGGAGACACGGCCAGAACCGCATGGACCAGCGCTCCCTGACACTGTCCACAGCTGGCCGGCAGCCCCCAGCTCCCTGCAGACAAGCCCCGCGACACCCCCGGGAGGAAGGCACACCGTCTCCCTCTCTCAGCCTCGAGCACTGGCTTTGTCTCTTGCTGCACAGACAGCTCACGACTGTTACAGGAAAAACACTTTATTGAACATATTCAGCTCGCTTCCAATGAAATGATCAATCTTTCATGTACAGTGTGTCCAATGTGTGTCTTCTATTGTATTTCTTTTCTTTTTTTTTCTCTGCTTCTTCTTCTTTCGAAAACCAGCACCAAAACAGTCACACAGAATAACCCGGGGGCAGAACGCAAAGTGAGTTAACTAATGGGAACTATATACATCTGACCCCGGAGAGAACAAGACATGGTATTACTGCCACTGAGATTGTGCCCTGTGGGCAGAGGTGGCCAAGCCATGGTCAGCCGAGAGGGTTGCATTTGCACCAATGAGAACAGCACCATGAGCCCGGCCGGTGTGGTTCAGTGGTCAAGCGTCAACCCATGAACCAAGAGGTCACGGTTCGATTCCTGGTCAGACTCGATCCCCAGTCAGGGGCGTGCAGGAGGCCGATCAATGATTCTCTCTCATCATTGATGCTTCTCTCTCTCTCCCCCCGTCCCTCCCCCGCCTCTGAAATCAATAAAAATATTTTTTAAACAAATAGCACCAGGAGATCCTAAGACGGCAGTTAGCCTCGCGTGTGTGCGACCGCGTAGGGACAGCACTTGGATGACAGTACAGGGTGTTCTTAACCATTAAGACACGCTGCTGCCACTGTGGCCATCACGGGGTATTTGTGTCTTCTGAACAAAGTGGGGCGATGGCTGCACCGAGGTCAGTCGTTGCTGGTGAGTTTCAGATCACCAGCGCTCACGTGAGTGAAAGGAGCACCTTAGGGAAGCAATGGGGTGTTTCTTAACAACCGAATCGGCCACTTGCACTCTGAGGGTGTGGGGCCCTTGCCAGGGGCGCGCAGTTGACACAGAGGCGACAGGGAAAGGGCTCAGCCAGGAGCCCAGGCCGCGACCCACGCAGGCGTGCAAGCTAAGCTGCCCTGGCTTCCTGAGCTGGCCTCCCCCCGCCAACCCCCTTGCTCCGCGCCCCCGGCTTTGTCCATCTGTGATGAACTACAGAACATTTGGGGCTAAGGAAAAACAAAATCCTAGTGCCCCAAGATTTAAGAATGCTGTGGGTACAAGAGCCAGGGGGGAAGGTGACATTAGAGGATGGGCAGCCCCATCCTGGCCTTCTGTCCCTTCTCTCCGCAGAACACCGGGCACTGAGCACCAAAGGAGGGTTCTCCGCTCCTCACTGATTCCAGGGGCTGGGGGTAGGGGCAGTGGCCAAGGGGCTGCATCAAGTCCCGGCCACCCCTCTCCCCTTCCCCCATCCCTGGAGCAGGCTTGAGAGAGCAGAGGGATTTGTTGTTTGTCACTGTGATTGAAGCTGACCTGAACGTCGTGACATCCACAACACAAACACAGACCACAGACACAGCGCCAATAAGCGAAAAAGCACCCGGAGAAGGCCCCACGCACATCCTCTGGGCTAACGGAGTTGATGGCGGGGTCTTCATGGCAAAGTCCTTGAACATGAGCACCAACCCAACTGCCACCACGCTGGCCAGGGAAACGGACATCTTGGCATCCAGGGTCCGTTCCCAGGCTGGGGTTCCTTCCTCCCAGCTCCCGGGAGGTGAGCGGTGAGCGGCCTGTGCGCGAGCAGTGCTGTGGGTTGGAGGATCCTGGCTGCAGGACTGTTGTTCCCTGTCGTCAGGACTCATCTGTGCCCTCAGAGGGGTCACCTCCCCGGGTTCCAGAGAGGGCACAGCTCTGTGTTGAGGGGCGAAGAGACTGAAGGTGGGAAAGACCCTCTTCATGCTTTTCTGGGTGTCCTACTTGCCCCACTGGGTAGATGGTCAACAGGGACATGACAAGGTCTGCGCTACAGGAAGGCTGGATGGCCGGGCAGTGGTCCCTGGTCCCGGCCAGGCGGCTCTCCTCCATGGATCCTGGTCCACTAGGTGGAGTGTCCCCTGGAGGAAACCTGCCCGTGATGGACGAAGCGGCCAGGCTTGAGCTCGAATCTTCTGAGGTTCTGGAGATAATCAACTTCAGGCAGGTGGCCACGGCCACTGGGAAGCCATCCACGAGGTGCCAAATTTATGAAGTCCTGGCTAGAATAGAGGGCCCCCCCCAAAAAGTAGAGTAGAGGGCCCCAGAAGGCAGAGAGGAGCCCCCACGACCCTGACAAGGCTGTCCTGGGCTCCCCCGTCTGCCAGGAAGCGATCCCAGAGCTGCTCACAGCACCTGGAAGAGAGGGTCTTCCATTTCCCTGGGTGGACAGCAGAGATCTGACAATTAAGCACCTCCCCAAACCTAAACCCTTCCGGAATCTTCTCCCCAACACAGCTGATGCAATGCGGCGTGGCCCCGGTCTCCCATTGGTTCACACAGATCCAGCCTTGCAGAGGGAAGTCCTCCAGGCCAGGCCCAGGGTCCAGAGAACCTGCTCTCAGCGCTGGGCGGACGGCAAAGTCCCTGTGTTGTCGCAAGGCCCCTCCTGAGAGGCCGCCGGCATCTGTCCTTCCGCCCAGGGTGCCGCTGGCTTTCAGAATAAAGCCTGATTGCATGTCCACGGTCCCGTTTGGGCTGCTCCACCCCGTGATACACGAAGCACCAGGAATCCGGACCTCAGAAGAGAGTGGAGGCAGAGGCGGCCAATGACATCTTGCTCTGCTGTCGGTTGTCAGAGGTGCCCCCGCCGAGGTCCAGGGAACCTTCGAGACTGTGCCGATTCTGTGGCTCAGGCCTATCTTCCCCTTACTGCAGAAAGCCAGCCAGTGGCTCTGAACAATATATTAAGTATAAAAGCACCAAGGCAAAGGTCAAGTCCACACTTGAGTTCTACGGGGACTGGATTCTTGGGATGGCCTGGGGGGAGGGGCGCTGTGCTCTGGAGGATCCTGGCTGCAGGACTGCTGTGCCCTCAGATGGGTGGGTGTTCAGCTGGCCCTGGAGTGTGGCGGGACTGCGGGAGCGCGTGTCATGAGCTTGGTGAGGGCGGGGGCAGTGGTCGGCGCATCTTGTTGGCGTAGAAGTCCCTGCACGTCTGGCAGCAACGCTGGTACCACCGCATGTCCTGGCAAAGGTTCTTTTCCCGGATGACCCGACAGTACACGGTCCACTGGTCCCGCGTGCACTTATAGGTCAGGGCAGCTACGGGGACAGTGGAGAGAGAAAGCCTGGGGGTTACGGATGGCAGGGGGTCATTGTGACAAACGCCAGGAGGTGGCCCATGGCCCGACCCACAGTGGGCCGCCCTTACCGTTGCCCCGTGGAGCCTGGTGGAGCCTGAGGAGGTATGTCCCCTGCTGGGGACACTGCGGCTGCTGCTTTCTTCTACAGGGGATGCACCCCTGTGTCCAACGTGACCACGTGGCAGAGTTTGGTGGTCTGGCTGCCTCCTTGGGATGGGGGCACTGCCCACCCTGCTTCTGAGCTAAGTGGCGCTCACTGTTATTTTGTGGCAGGAGACCTCGTCACTATGGGCATTTATGAAGCATGAGGACATGGGGCGCTGAAGATCAAAGGGCCCACACAGCTCAAGGTCACAGTGCAAGGTCACAGCACAAACAAGGGTCATGGTTCTGCAGAGAGGAGGCCCTGCCTGAGGGACATCCCTGGGGGACCCCGCGGGCTGGTGCATACAACAGCCTGGGGTGCGCTTCCATAAGCTCACTCACCCTCGCCCCACCCAGCGCAGCCACAGAGAAACACCCTTCATTCCGGTGCCTTCCAAGCGTCAGGGAAAGGGCTGTGGGTGGGACATACTCCCTAGGGATGTCTGTTTGGGCGCCAGTGGACCAGTGTTCAGTGTTTCTCGCCCTGCACCCTGCTGGCCTGGCCATGCCCGCTTACGGCCGAGTTGGGAGCCCGCGGGACCAAGCTGCTCGCACAGAAGGTCCCCGTTGAACAAAAGACCAAACCCACTAAAACTTCCCCCGTTTTCTCGAGCCCGGCTTGAGGAACATCCCGTGCGGACGTCCCCAAGGATTCACGAACAACACCCCCACCGCCTCCCTTTGCCCCGCCCCACCTAGGAACCCTAAAACATTTGGGGGGATTCCCTCGTGTTCCCCAGGGGTGGGCAGGGGGGTCAGCGGGACACTGTTTGAGATGGAAGTTAGCCAACAGCTTTCTCATGACAAGGACTGGAATCCCACCTCTGACCTGCTATGGAGGTGACCCACGTCGGCCTCTCCAGGGCTCAGATAAGACCAAGGAAGGCGCTTCCTGGCTGTTGTTCACATTGATCTTGTCATTGCAGACCTCCTGGTGGCACTGCCTGTAGGCCGCCGGCTTCGAGAGGGTGGGGCACTCGTTGCCATGGCGCCCGGTGACCTTGTGCATGCACTGCACCACGCGGGACTGCAGGCCCTTCCCACAGGTGGAGGAGCACTGCGGGGGGACAGGGCAGCCTGAGCAGCCACGCCGGGCTGGGCGCCGGGAGGGGCCAGGTGGCATCTGGACCATGGGCCTCCCGTCTCTTCCTGGGAGGCCTGCCCCAGGCGGCACCAGGTACAAGCACCGCGGCACGCAAGTGGCACCCTCTGCTCCCAAGGGCTCTGTGCACCAGGTGGGTACCTCTACTTATAGATGGACAAGCAGGATCATGGGTTTTTTTTAAAGTAAATATTTTTGTTGATGTCAGAGAGAAAGGGAGATGGAGAGCGAGAGAGAGAAACATCAGTGATGAGAGAGAATCATGGATGGGCTGCCTCCTGCACGCCCTCCACTGGAGATGGAGCCCGCAACCCAGGCCTGTGCCCTGACTGGGAATTGAACTGTGACCTCCTGGTTCATAGGTGGATGCTCAACCACTGAGCCACACGGCCAGGCTTGTTTTTGTTGTTTTTTTCCACTTTACAGGAATAAAGGGGCACAGAGACCATGGTGCTGGGGAGGGCCCCGTCTTTTCAAGTCACAAAAAAAGCGGAAACCCCCCGCGACCCCTCTGTGGGCCTGGCCTGCTCAACCCAGGGGGGCCGCCTCCAGGAGCCTAGGCCCCGCTGTGCGCCCTGTGCCACATCCCATCTCCCGGCCCAGGGCCCTGATGCAAAGCGAAATCCTGTGAACACAGAACAGTCATGCCAACGTCCCCAGTCATAGCAACACGGAGCAGTCGCGCCAACACGGGGCAAAGTCATGACAACAGAGCAAAGCCATGCCAACGCAGTGCAAGGCTATGCCAATGGGTGCAATCCTATGCCAACGTGGACCATCTGATGCCAACGCAGTGCACGGCTATGCCATGGCCTATGAGTGAATCGCCAAAGACAGCAGCACAAACACATTTAAAAACAGGCGGCACTCCGTGGGCTCAGCTGGCAGTGCCTGGGCGCAGGAAGGGGGGTGATGAGGGCACAGGCAGACACCGCCATGGACAGACAGCCCCTTACGGAAGCGCTGCTCTCCCACCGGTTCTGACCCCTGACCCCGCACGAGCGGCAGTGTTCCCCGGCCCAACGTTATCGTGCCCGCGAGACTGGACACGGCCTTATTTATAATGTAAACCTATGGCTTTAATCGTGAACGCGGAACTTCGTGAATGAGTGACGGGTTTTCAGCTGGTGTTTGACGAGCCCCCCTATGCTATTAAAGACCTTTATGTCTAAATTGGCCATAAAATAAAATAAGAACCCTGCTGCCTGAGAAAGCGGGGTTTCCATGTGCTCAAGGGCCTGTTTCTGTGACCATTCGGCACGGACAAGACCAATGAGGAGAGACAGGGACCCAGCAGCGCCCCAACATCCTTCCTTTTCTCATTGGATCAGGACTCGGACCCGGGGCCTGGCACCACCCGCTGCACGGGACAAGCCCAGAGGAAGAGCAAGGTTGTCTGTTGTTGGTCCTCAACCAAAGATACTTTTCCAGTGATTTTTAGAGAGAGTGGGAAGGAAGGAGGGAGGAGGGGCAGAGAGAGAGAGAGAGAAACATCGAAGTGAGAGAGATACATCGACTGGTTGCCTCCCGCATGTGCCCAGACCAGGGCCAGGGATGGAGCCTGCAACCCAGGTATGTGCCCCAGACCCGAATCGAACCTGGGACCCTTCAGTCTGCTGGCCAAAGCTCTATCCACTGAGCCAGACCAGCTACGGCTTAAAAAATAAAGTTTATTGATTTAGAGAGAAAGGGAAAGGAGAGATGAAAACATCAATGTTGAGAATCATGGATCAGCTGCCTCCCACACGCCCCCTACTGGGGATGGAGCCCTCACCTGGAATCGGAGGGTGACCTGCTGGTTCAGAGGTTGATGCTCAATCACTGAGCCACAGCATTCGGGCAAGAGCTAGGTATCTCTGTAGGCCCTTCCTGGAGGGATATGGGGCAGGTGGCAGCTGGGTTTCTAAGTCCCTAGGAGACTGCACCGGCTGACAGAGAAGTCGCCGCAGTATGCCTGCCTCGCTCCCACGGCGCCCCCTGCCACCAGGTCGCAGGGCCCTGCCAGCCGGGCAGTGGCCTGGCTGAGTCACTTCCGGGCCAGGAGCGCCAGCAAGGGTTTCCCCATCTTGTGCAGGTGTGGTTATGAGGCCTCCATCCTGGGGGCCTAGCAAAGCCAAGTGCAACACTGACAAGGTCTCTGCCCAGAAACGATGAAGGGCCATCGTAAGACTTAGCTTCCACCTACGAACCTGGTTCGATTCCTGGTCAGGGCACATGCCCGGGTTGCAGACTCGATGCCCAGTGTGGGGCATACAGAGGTGACTGGCTGCCTCCTGCACCCTGCCTACTGGGGATGGAGCCTGCAACCCGGGCATGTGCCCTTGAATGAAATCTGGGACCTTCACTCCGCAGACTGCTGCTCTGTCCACTGAGCCACACCAGCTGGGCCAGCAGCGCTATTATTATTAACATCAGCAGAGGGCAGGGCTGACGGGGAGTCCCTGGCCTATTGCTCAGCGCCCCCAGGTGGCCGGGCCCGGCCTCTGCAGGCAGGTGTGACTGGCCCTGACCTACTGACCTGGCGGCTCAGCCAGGTGGCCTCCGGGGTACAGAGGCCGAGATGGCCCTGACGACGGACACGATTCCAGACAGGTGTGTGGCTCGCTTTTGCACGGCCTCCTCCTGTCACCTGAGCTCCCCACAGTAAGGACGACAGAGGCGCAGGCAAGGAATTCCATCTCCGTCCATCCCCCTCCCCCCGCACCCCATCCCACCGGCCTTGGCTTTAATTGAACAGCGAGGAGGCCGCCCGCCCGTGCGGCCTGATAGCATCAGATTAGCACCGAGCACAGGAGGGAAGCCATTTTTCAGGCGTTTAAAATGCAAGCAAACGGATCTATAAAAGACAAAGGAACGGATCTGATCTTGTCTGAAGCCCTCCTTCCCTGCTGGGTGGTTTTCTCAAGTCGTTTGTTACACGAACATTTCATGGGGCTCCCCAGACACCGGAAACTGAGCGGCAAGGGAGAGGCCCTAAATTCACCCCAACAGCCCCTTGCCTGGGGCTTGGAGGCTGTGCCAGCCCCTCATGCTCCCTCCCCAGCACACAGGGCCTGGTGACCTGCCACCCCTCCCAGGCGCCCTCCCCCAGCCAGGAGGGGGCGCCAAAGACATTTCGGGTGTGAGCTCCATAGGAAAAGCAATCTATATATATATAAAAGGCTAATATGCAGTGCCCCTCAGGAGTTCAATGTGTGCTGACTACCAGGGGGCGGCGTAGAAGGAAGGCAGGCCCCGGCCAGCAGCCGGAAGGAAGGCTCCGATTGACCTCGATTGCTGGCCATGCCTAGGGACCCTACCTGTGCACAAATTTCGTGCACCGGGCCTCTAGTATTGAAATAAAATAACTGTTGCCCTTGCCAGCGTGGTTCAGTGCTTGAGCATCGATCTATGAACCAGGAGGTCACGGTATGATTCCTGGTCAGCGCACATGCCTGGGGTTGCTGGCTTGATCCCCAGTAGGGGGCGTGCAGGAGGCAGCCGACTCATGATTCTCTCTTATCATTGATGTTTCTCTCTCTCTCCCTCTCCATTCCCCTCTCTGAAATCAGTAAGAACACATTTTGGCGGAAAAAGTGATAATAGCTACAGGTCCCAACTTCTGCCCGCCTACTGTGAACTAAGACCAGGCCTCAGTCCTCTCTAATCCTTACACAAACAGCCACTGTGGCATGCAGGGCTGCGAGCATAGTAGGTGCACAATAAACGCGCACCAAATGCATGAATGATGCCCCGAGGGGTGGAACATGAGGCTCAGGGCCTGCGTGATGGGACCTCCCACCCGGGCCTGCCCTCCCTGAGGCCCCCACTTCTTCCAGCCACATCCCCCCCCCCCCGCTGGGAGGGACCAGGTCTCTGTCATCACAGGGAGGCCAGACCCTAACGACAGGCTCCACTAGGGCGAGACGCCGTCTCTCTGGCCTGTAAAGTCACGACTATAAAGAACTCCAGATCCCAGAGGGATGTTTTGAGAATTAGCGAAAGGAGGTTGTAAAAGTCTCGGAAGACGGACTCGCTGCAGGAATGTTACAGCTGTGCGTGCGTGAGCCTGGGTTCCGGGCTCTGGGGGAGCAGGAGACTAGGTGGGGGTGACAGGATGCGAGGTGGACCCTCACTGCCCAGCATCACCCCCGATGTGGTCACTGGGCCATTCTCTGAGGGGCCAGTCTGCCTGGGGGAGGTTTGGGTAACAAAGAATGAGAGAGAGAGAAACGAAGGGAGGTGGGAGAGGGAGGGAGGGAGGGAGAGAAAGAGAGAGAGAGAGAGAGAGGGAGAGGGAGAGAGAGGGAGAGAGAGGGAGAGAAAGGAAGGGAGGGGAGGAGAGAGAGAGAGAGAGAGATGGGGGAGAGAATACCCTTACAGTAACTCCTTCTTCTGTTTGTGCCTGGAAGGCACTTGCCTGGGAAAATGTCAAAAGCATGTGTGACAGATTCCCCCACGACTTGGCATGAGCGCCACCAGCCTCGGAAGCTGCTGGAACCTGAGCCAGCAGGTCTAAGCAAGAACGAAAATCCCCTGTCCCGGCTCCAGCCCGAGACGGCAGATGCTATCTTAGAGCCCCCCACACAGCACATCCATCTACACCATTGTGTGACATGCCTACATCCATCTATACCATCATCCATGTGATACACTCACATCCAACTCTACCATCCACATGACACAGCACATCCATCTACACCATTGTGTGACATGCCTACATCCATCTACACCAGTGGTTGGCAAACTGTGACTCGCGAACCACATGCAGCTCTTTTGCCCCTTGAGTGTGGCTCTTCCACAAAATACCACGTGCGGGCACGCATACAGTGCGATTGAAACTTCGTGGCCCATGCGCAGAAGTCAGTTTTCAGCCTGGGCGAGTCTATTTTGAAGAAGTGGCGTTAGAAGTGGGGGGGGCAAACCCCGCCCCCCCCACACACAAACCCACCTACATACATCCCCCCACATCCAGCCATCTCCCTCACCCCCGGTCTCTCTGACCTGCAGACTCCGGTTGGGACATGGCAGCTGGGGAAGCAGAGAGCTAGGGTGACCCCAGATGGGATTCTGGCTGGCGAGCAGGAAGCCAGGAACATGGGGCCTTGCAGGGGGCGCTCTCCCGTCTCTCTAGTTTGGTAACTGACCTCGCCACCGGGACAGTTTCAAACCCCTGCACCCCTGTAAGAGCCTCCTTGAGCTTCTACCCCAGGGACAGGGGCCCGCCCGGCCTGGGGCGGAGGGGCAGGGCACAGCAGAGAGGAACAGAGCCAGGCGCCAACAGACCAGAGCTGCCCGCTGTGGCCATGGGACCCGCTCTCCCTACTGCGTGCAGCCTCTGCCGCTTGGTCCCACCCACACCTGCACATCGGCCTCCAGATGATGCCATTGTGCCTGTCGGACAGGCGCCCTCTATGTCCTCAGCGACCCGTCGGGCACCACGGGGCCCTCCCGGGGAGACGGAGGTGAGTTGCCACCAGTTTGAGTTCTGATCAGAAAACAACCAGAGCCCGGCCGGCATGGCTCAGTGGTTGAGTGTAGACCTAGGAACCAGAAGGTCACGGTTCGATTCCCCGTCAGGGCACATGCCCGGGTTGCAGGCTGGATCCCCAGTAGGGGGCGTGCAGGAGGCAGCCGATCCATGGTTTTCTCTCATCATGGATGTTTCTATCTCTCTCTCCCTCTCCCTTCCTCTCTCTGAAATCAAAAAAATAAATAAATATATAAGCAAATAAATAAAAACATTGGTGAGAGTCCTGTGGCAGGATTGTCAAACCACGGGCTCAAGGTGGAACAAGGGCTGTCCCTTTCCAATGGCGCCCGGCGTGGGGTCAACAGTGGGTGCAGCATTTGCAAAGGAAGTGCATTTGCCTGGTCACGCAGGGCCCACCGGGTGACAGCGGCCGGGCGGCCGGGAGTGCGGGCGCTGGCTCACCTTGGACCAGTCCCCGGTCCTCCACGCGTAGCAGCCGGAGTAGTCCTCGCACGCCTCCTCCGCGCGGGGCCGGGTGGACGCGTCGCACTTCCCTTGGGAGTTGGTGCAGGTCACCGTGCGCTTCTGCGTGCCGTGGCCACAGCTGGCGGAACACTGCAAAACACGGCTGGTGCTGAGGCCGGGCAGCGCCATGCGAGTCCCCCCATGCCCAGGGAGGCCCCACCCAGGGCCAGGCCCGGTGCAGAGGGTGCAGGGACCAGGGGCCAGGTTTCTTGTTTATTTGTTTGTATGTTTTTTAATATATTTTATTGATTTCAGAGAGAAAGGGAGAGGGTGAGAGAGAAACATCAATGATGAGAGAGAATCATGGATTGGCTGCCTCCTGCAGGCCCCACACTGGGAACCGAGCCTGCAACCCGGGCACGTGCCCTGACCGGGAATCAAACCGGTGACCTTCTGGTTCATAGGTCAACGCTCAACCACTGAGCCACACCAGCCCGGCTCTAACTTCCTTTTTCATATTTGCTTCATTTACCTAAAATAAGGGGACGATAACAGTGATGTTCTTCAGCTACAACAAAGCTGACTTCGGCAAGAATGCCCAGAAAGGACACATGCTATTCTTTCCATCCGTCCTTAACATTTTCCCCCAAATGCTGTCTAGCCTTACTTTTCCGAGGCATGCAGTTTAGCTCTGTCTGAAGGTCCCAGGAAGTTGTTTTTCTTTTGCTTTTGGAGACCGAGGTAGACCCGCTTGTTTTAGCAGAAATCCACGGGCCGTGGTGTCACTCGGGGCGGGGGGAGCGGCTGGTTTCAGGGGACGCCAGGGTCAGGCGAAGGCGGGCTAGGCCCACGGGGCGGCCCGGGCAGGTGGGTGGCTGCAGGGAGCCCTGGGTGACTGTGCTGAGGGGTGGTCCCCTGCTCTTCTGAACGGCCATGGTCCCCCCATCATTTCAACTCCGTTCTCACCATTTGACTCCTGGCTCTTCCGTGGCACCCGCATCCACCCCTCTGGATCCTTCTCAACCAAGGGCCTCCTCCCCACTCTGTCCAACTCTCTGCTTTGTCATTCCTCTTCCTCCTTCCTCGTCCCTTTCCCAGACTGTCCAGCCTGTCTCTTGGCCAACCCCTGCCGTGGCCCGGCTGCGCGACAGCCCGCTGGCTGGGCGCCTGGGCCCTTGCAGGCCAGGCTGCCTTGGGAGGAAGGGACCTGGGGATGATGTGCAGTTTCTCTCTCGGCCTCGGATCCAGGGATGGGGCCTGGGAGCTGAGGACAGGAGACGGCCAGCCCCCTTTCTTCCTTCTCGACGTCTGTGCCTCGCTCTAACAGTGCTGGCGAGCAGCTAGTGAAAAAGATCCTCAGGCCGGCTAAACCCGGCAACCTGTCAATAACCCATCTGAACCCAAGTGTTTCCAGGGGAAGAAATGTCCGAGGGGCTTCGGCCCGGGGCAACGTGGTAGAAATACGTTGGGGCCCGGCCGGTGTGGTTCAGTGGTTGAGCATTGACCTATGAACCAGGAAGTCAGGGTTCACTTCCCGGGCAGGCACATGCCCGGGTTGCGGACTCGATCCCCAGTGTGGGGCGTGCAGGAGGTAGCCGATCCATGATTCTCTCTCATCACTGATGTTTCTCTCTCTCTCCCTCTCCCTTCTTCTCTGAAATTAATAAAAAATACTTTTAAAAAGAAATAAGAAGGAAAGATGCACTCAGCTCAAGCCTGGGCTGAGCCCTGGGAGACGGGTGGGTGCGGACAGGGTTTCCAGAGGCGGCTCGGGCGTGATGGGGCACATAGGTGGATGGAGACGGAGATGGAGATGCCTCTATAAATCTCGTCTCCGCTGGCTCACGCCTCCCGAGATGGTGCTCTTCAATCCGATGCTGACAGCTGATAATGTCAGGCTGGGGTATTTTGGGAAAGAGCATGTCTGTTTCTTCCATATAAGAAAGAATCTGAATGAAAAATGTATGGTTTTGATCTGATTAAAGTATAAATCTTTTTTGGATCAAGACCCAGGTGGTTAAGGCCCTATGGCTCCTGGGAGGTGGGGGAGGGGAGAGAGACTACTTACCTGCCCCTACACCTGCAACAAGTACCCACCCACCCCCCGCCCCGAAAAAGGTCCCTGGGATGTTAAACTTACAAACCTAAGTCCATATTAATTAAAAAAAAAAAATCAAGCACAATTTTTAAACTCTTGGCCTGGCCGGTGTGGCTCAGTGGTTGAGTGTCGACCTATGAACCAGGAGGCCACGGTTTGATTCCCAGTCAGGGCACATGCCCGGGTTGAGGGCTGAATCCCCAGTAGGGGGCGTGCAGGAGGCAGCCGATCCATGATTCTCTCTCATCATGGATGTTTCTCTCTCTCTCTCCCCCTCTCCCTTTGCTCCGAAATCAATACAAACATATTTTAAGACAATTTAAATTCTCTTCTTTTCTTAAAATATCACAAAGGGTAGGTTCCACACGCAGGCCCTTCAATGGCTACAACGTCAAGATCTGTCTGAAAAGGAAGCTTCGTTTTAGAACGGCCCTGGGCAGACGTTTCATTCATTAAGAACGGGCTGAATGCTTTCTTATTCTAAATCATTCCAACTGTTTGGCAATAAAGGGGAACTTTAAAAATATTTTCCACACTGAACAGTGTCTTGGCCGGAGCCCTCTGACTTTGCTAGAACACACCTCCAGGGGGACCCGGAGGAAGCTGGCCCTTCAGCCGGCGAGTTTGCTGCTTTCCAGCCAAACCATCGAAATCGTGAAGCCTCGAAGAATGCTGTCACCGAAGAGAAAGCGGCACGGGCACGAGCAGCCTGCAGAGTGACACACCGAGGGCTCCATTGACCCCTTTCCAAAGTGGCGATGGGCGAGAGGCAGGACCTGGACAAGCTCAGCGAACGCGGTCCCTCCCAGGAGCCGCCTGCCGCTGGGACGCACAGCCTGCCTCCTTCCTGTGAAACCTCCTTCCCAGTCTGACACGAGGTTCCAATATGCCCCAAGGGCATTAAAGGCAGGCCTGCGCATCTATGATCTATCTGTGGATGTATCTACCTATGCATCTATCTATGTATCTATCTATATATCTATGTATGTACTTATGTATCTATGTATCTATGTATATACCTATGGATTTATGTACCTATTTATGTAACTATATACCTATGATCTATGTATTTATTTATCTATGTACCTATGTATCTATCCATGTGTTTATATATCATCTATGTATCCATGGATCTATTTATACTAGAGGCCCGGTGCACAAAATTGTGTACATTGGTGGGGAGGGGATCCCTCAGCCCGGCCTGTGCTCTCTCACAGTCTGGGAGCCCTGCAATCAATCGCCCCAAAGAGGTAGGCCCCGCCTACCCGGCCAGGGCTCCCCGATGAATCGCCCCTGCAGAGGGAGGCCCAGGCTGCCTGCTGCAGTGCCGCCGGCCGGGGCCTGGGCCTCCCTCTTTGGGGCGATCATGGGGCGATGGCTGGGCCCCCAACCAATCGCATCGCACCCACGTTGGCTGGCCTGGCGCCAGTGGGTGTCATAGTGTGGTCGTCCAGATGGTCATCTGGATGGTTGCTCCACTGTTCAGCAGTTTGGTCGATTTGCATATTATGCTTTCATTATTATAGATATCCATCTATGTATCTATGTATTTATCTATGTATCTATCTATGTATCTTTCTATGTACCTATTTACTTATCTGTCTATTTATCTGTCTCTCTCTCTATTCATGTGTCCATACATCTCTATCTACCTGAGAATTTTCACAGGAAATGGGACGTAAAAGTAGTGTGCTATATGTTATCAGAAAGCAACTATCCATGATCAGTAACACGTTCCCCATGTATTTTAGCCATGTTGGTATCTCGGATGGACGTGAAGAGCATGTGAGCGCCCACACAGCTCTGAGTTGCTTGGGGGCTGGTGAAGACCGTGACACGTGAAGCTGTGTCACAAACACGACGCAGGAAAAGGGACCACGCAGAGGCCCCTGTGGACAAGGGCCAGCGGCCCCGGTGGCGGCCCGGGCACCCACCTGTGACCACTCGGACGCTTCCCAGATGGACAGGCAGTCCTGGCCCTCGCAGCTCTGCACGGGTGCAGGCCGGGCGCCCTGGCAGTAGAGGGGCCGCGTGGTGACGTGGGTGCCATTCGGCAGCTGGTGCACGCAGGTCACCTCCCGCTGCTGGACGCCCTTCTCGCAGGTCGCGGAGCAGGGGCTCCACGGGCCGGCCACCCACCTGCCCGGGAGGAGGAGAGACGGTGAGAGGAGACGCGGGCAGAGGCCAGCCTCCCCGAGGGCCCTGCCCCGGACCCTGGAGCCTGGGGCCTGCGGGACGCAGGAGGGAGGCAGAGCAGAGAGCTCTGCGTGGACTCTGTCTCTTGTCCTTGTTAATCCTCACCCGAGGATATTTTCCCCTTGATGTTTAGAGAGAGTGGAAGAGAGAGGGAGAGACAGAGAGAGAGACACATTGATGTGAGAGAGACACATTGATTGGCTGCCTCTCCCTCACATCGAGCCTAAGCCTGCAACTGAGGGAAGCGCCCTTGACCAGAATCGAACCGGAAACCCTTCAGTCCACAGGCCAACACTCTATCCACTGAGCCACACCAGCCGGGCAACCTCCTGATTTTAAGATGTTGGCCATGAACTCCAAACCTGACGACACCTCTGTGGGCCCAGCCGGCCTGCTGAGGAATTCAGCCCCACGCCTCCAGTCTGGGACTTCACGCTTTCACATTCGGGGAGGGGGGGGGCAGCTGTGCCAGACCTGAACCGACGTCCAAGTGGCCATGTGTGTATTTCCTCTTGCTCTCGCCTACAGAAGCCGTTACTGGGCACCAGCGCTTGTCACATGGGCACCTCAGGCACTGCTTTCTCCTCCGCTTTGGTCCCCACACCCCTGTTGCACACACACACACGCACACACGCGCGCGCACAGACCCACACGCATGTACATGTGTGCACACAAATGCACACACATGCTAGCTCGTCTTGTGGTCGCCTTCACAGATGCGTCCCGAGCATCTTGTCGTCAGAGAATTAGAAAGAAAGGGCTGCTCCAGGGGAGTGACGTGGCGTGGTTCTCCTGAGACCCCAGCGCGAGTGGGACCAGCCCCAAAGGCACCCTCCGTCCGCGACCACGCGGCTGCTGCGGAGAACACAGGCTTAAGGAGCACCAGCAGGGGCCCGCCCGCTGCCCACTGCCCAGCCCCACAGCGCCTCCAGGTGAAACGGCACCTCCCTGCCCCGCCGCCCTGGCCGCCCCGCGCCCGCTAGGAAAACGCTCAGGAATTCTCAGGGCTCTGCCTGCGAATGGTTCCCAGGGGAGGTCCCCAGGGCCCAGCGAGACAGCCCGGCCTCTTCGGGAAAGTGTGCGGAGGGGATGGGCTGCACAGGCCTGAGTGTTCGGAGGCCCAGGCCCAGGGCTCCCACAGGGACCAGCCGGGGAGCTGGCTGCCGGCGCCCGAGCTCGCCCGCCCTGCGAGGCTCTGGCACGCGGCTTTACGAGTAGGCAGTTTGCAGTTCTGCCTGCTCCCACCCATGACTACCTTTTTTATTATTACTATTTAATATATTTTCACTGATTTCAGAGAGGAAGGGAGAGAGAGAGAGAAACATCAGTGATGAGAGAGAATCATGCATTGGCTGCCTCCTGCACGCCCCCCACTGGGGATGGAGCCCACAACCAGAGCATGTGCCCTGACTGGGAATCGAACCCAGGACCGCTCGGTCCCTGGGCCAATGCTCAGTCCACAGAGCCACACCAGCCGGGCTTAGCCGCTCTTGCCAAGGCCGCCCACCTCCTCCTTGGGGGTGGGTCTCCCCGAGGCAGCGTGTTCTGAGGACACTGCAGACCTCGGCTCCGGCGCGTTGGAGAGGCGCTGCGCATTAACACCGCAGGCGAAAGAAACCGCTGGAGTTTCCCATAAAACGTTACAGCAGGATCCGTCCCCGGAAAACATTCATGCCCTTCCACTCACGTCCCAGATGAGCCAGGCATCCGAGCACATGGTGTCACAGCAGATGCTGGACAGATGCTCCTCTGGGAACAGAGACAATAATTAGTCTCAATTAAGTTCCCAATAAATTATGGAGCGGGGGGAGAGGGGGGCCTTTGGCGGCTCAGCCCTGTGTGGCTTGTTGGGCTCGAGTCAGTGAACCTGGTCCAAGCCTGTTTAGAAACTGGATGGCTCTGGCTAATTCACGTTCAGAGTAAACTGCATACAGGTCTGGGCATGAGAGGGAATAATGAATCCCATAACCACGTGCAATTGGAAATAATAATTTGTTAATAATTTTAATAGCTAATGAGCTACAGAAACCACGTCCAGGAGTCTTCCAAGTAGAAGGGAAAGTGATCCGTTTTATTTCTGGCTTCCTTTCCCTTCAAATATATTTTACTGATTTTGAGAGAGAGAGGAAGGGAGAGGGAGGGAGAGAAACATCGATTGGCTGCCTCCTGCACGCCCCCTAGTGGGGATCGACCTGGAAACCCAGGCGGGAATGGAACCGTGCCCTCCTGGTTCATAGGTCGACGCTCAACCACTACACGTGTACCGGTTAATAATGCACATGGTAAGCCACGCCAACTGGGCAAAAACTCTTACATGTTTAAAAATATTTCTCTAAAGCCTCGATACTTGAAGGACAGTTTTGCTAGATATAAAACCCTCGGTTTCACAGTCTCCTTCCTGATCTCTGCTGTTGTGTAAGGATGCCCCTCACACCCACGTGACGACGGGGACCTGGGAGTCAGGGTGGCAGCCACAGAAACCACCAGGAGCGTGTGGGGACTTGGAGGGAGGAAGAGCAGAGGGGGTGCCCCAGTTCTCGAGGGGCTCCGACCACTTCACAGCCATGAGTTTCCCTGGAGCCTGCTGATTCTGTGGCCACCCCACCATGGAGCCCTGCCCAGAGCTGTCAGGACTGGAGGGTGACAAACTCCACGGCCAGAGCTGCAGTCAGAACCCCCAGAGGCCTCCCTGGACAGGAACACAGGTGACCTGGGTCTCGCTGTCACTCCGTGGTGATGGGCCATGGGACTATTTTTGTTGTTATTGTTTGTTTTTTAAACAAACCTATTTTTATTGATTTTAGAGAGGAAGGGAGAGGGAGAGAGAGAGACACACACACCTCAATGATGAGAGAGAATCATGGATCAGCTGCCTCCTGCACGCCCCACACTAGGGGTGGAGCCCACAACCCGGGGAATGTGCTCTGAGCGGGAATTGAACCGTGACTTCCTGATTCACAGGTTGACGCTCAATCACTGAGCCACACTGGCCGGGCCCATTGGATTGTTTTCCAGCTCGATTAGTAGAAATACCACCGACACTTGCTAAGTGCCGCTGATCTATTGTCATCAAGGCCACAGTCAAGTGTGACGAGGGGAAGGAAGGGAGAGCTTCCTGCAGGAGCCGATGCTGAGAGCGTGGGAAGAGGAGAGCTCCTGGGCGCGGTCAGGACGGAGCCAAAGCCAGAGTAACAAACGCACCGCTTGTATTTCAGCGGGAAGCAGGAAAGAGGGGCTTCGCGGGTCGGACTACCTAGAAGCGGACGCGATCATGACATCTTTTCAGATTTTGGCTGTGCCTAAGGATCCACATGCTCTACGCTTCATTCTTAAGTCATGATCACACGCCTGCACACACACGGACACACATACTCATGCATATATGCACACATGCATGGGGAATATGCTGCCATAAAAACAGAAGGGATTTCACTCAATCTTAACCCCAAACCAGGCAAACCTGGTTAAGATATCTCAGCAAAGAGGACACATTGCAACTCCAAACGCACTTCCTCACAGATGACTATTCGGGGTGCTTGCCAGGACGATATTTCATGTTCTTCTCTGAATCCCCCGAATCCAACACACGGCACAGTATGTGCCGCCTGGAAGGGGTCCAAGCCGTAACGACTCTGGGGGAGTAGCTAATAGCTCGGCAGTAACTTCTCAAGTGGCCAATGAGCTCTAAAGGGCTGAAGAGACATGAGCTCGGTGACGCTGAGCCGCGGGTCCCAGCAGGCGCCCAGGTCCCTGTCATACCCCCTCCTCGCTCCAGGACGACGTGGGACTGGGCCATAAGGGACAGGCTCGCCCCTTCGCTGCCAGGTGACGGCAGGGCCTCTGTCCTGCGGACAGCAGTCAGCATGGGGAAGGCCGCTGGCCGCGGCCATGGCAGCTGAACGGATCTGCAATTTCTGCCTCGCCTGCCAGCGTCGGGCCAGGTTCGCCGATGTGTTTGTGTTGGTGCGGGAGGCTGGAGGGAGGCCATCTGCTGTGTGTGTCAGATTCCAGAT